CAGCTCACTGCAACCTCTGCCTCCCGGGTTCAAGCGATTTCCTGCCTCAGCCTCCCAAGTAGCTGGGACTACAGATGTGCACCACCACGCCCAGCTAATTTTTGTATTTTTTAGTAGAGACGCGGTTTTACTAAGTTGGCCAGGCTGGTCTTGAGCTTCTGACCTCAAGTGATCCACCCCCCTTGGCCTCCCAAAGTGCCGGGATTACAGGCATAAGTCACTGTGCCTGGCTTCATATCTGTATTCTTATGTTTATTGATTGATTGATTGATTTTGAGATGGAGTCTCACTCTGTTGCCCAGGCTGGAGTGCAGTGGTGCGATCTCGGCTCACTGCAACCTTGGCCTCCCGGGTTCAAGTGATTCTTCTGCTGCAGCCTCCTGAGTAGCTGGAATTGCAGGTGTGTGCCACCACATCTGGCTAATTTTTGTATTTTTGTAGATACAGAGTTTCGCCATGTTGGTCAGGTGAATGCCTGACCTCAAGTGATCCGCCTGCCTGGGCCTCCCAAAGTGCTGGGATTACAGGCGTGAGCCACTGTGCCTGGTCTGTATTCTTATATTTCTTACTAATCAAAATGTTCTTTGGGTAAAGATATTTAAAGATTTCAGGCATTTTTCTTGGCATTTTGTATAACCTTTCTGCATTAACCCTTTGTTATCCATTCCAGGTAGTTTGCTTAAAAAACAAAACAAGAAACAGATTTACTGATTGCCTGATTGACGCAGAGTTTCACTCTTGTTGCCCAGGCTGGAGTGCAATGGCATGATCTTGGCTCACCGCAACCTCCACCTCCTGGGTTCAAGCGATTCTCCTGACTCAGCCTCCCGAGTAGCTGGGATTACAGGCATGCACCACCATGCCCGGCTAATTTTCATTTATAGTATAGATGGGGTTTCTCCATGTTGGTCAGGCTGCTCTTGAACTCCCGATCTCAGGTGATCTACCTGCCTCAGCCTCCCAAAGTGCTGGGATTACAGGCATGAGCCACCGCGCCCAGCCAGAATTACAGTATTTAGTGTCTACCCTTTTATTTTCATTTTTAGAGAAAGGGTCTTGCTTTGTCACCCAGCCTGGAGTACAGTGTTGTGATCATAGTTTACTGCAGGCTTGAACTCCTGGGCTCAAGTGACCCTCCCACCTCAGCCTCCCAAGTAACTAGGACTCCAGGTTTGTGTGCACCACCACACTTGACCTAATTTTAAGAATTTTTGTGAAGAGACAAAACCTTGCCACGCCAGTCTTGGGCTCCCAGTGTATTGGGGATTATAGGCATGAGCTACTGCACCCAGCCTAATGTTCACCTATTTAAATTGATCTTTTCTATTTCTTCTCATTCTTTCAATTAAGCATAACCAATATTTAAAACTATTCTATATTTAATCCTAATTCATCTAGATTTTGCCTTATAATGTAAAAATGTACTTTTCTAACAAATTACAGAATTTTAGTTTTTTACCTCTAAAAAGGAGCCTCTAACAGTAAAACTGAATTAGTTGCTAGTCTCATCCACTGATTCTAGGAGGGTGAAATCAGTCAAGGCTCTAAGGGTGTGTAAATTCAGCTTGTCTTTAGAGGGTAAGCCCTTTTACATAGACTCCACTTTCGAAACGATGGCAGCACTTTCATAGAGCCTAGTGGATTAGGATGGGTAATCCCAGAACCACCACCTGGAAGAACAAGAACCCTGCTTCCTTGTTAGGAAACTACTATTCCTGACAGCTCTGAAGAGGATGTGGTTGGTGAAGTTTCCTGCTTCTACTGGTCATATATTTACGTGGCCTCCCCTTGTGTGGGCCTGATGGCTGCAGAAACAAGGGCAACTCTGACTTCTGCACAGTTGGCATGAGACTCTGCAGCCACACTCACCTGCATGAGGTCAACAGCACCAGACTTGCTCCGTGCAAAAGAGGACACAAAATATATTACCCTTAGACTTTCCAAGATTTTTAAATCATCTCTAATTAGTGGTTCAGGTCACCAGTCTGGGGACTTTAAAGAAAACACAGGTTACAGCTGGGTGCGGTGGCTTACACCTGTAATCCCAGCACTTTGGGAGGCCGAGGCAGGTGGATCACGAGGTCAGGAGTTCGAGACCAGCCTGGCCAACATGGTGAAACCCCATCTCTACTAGAAATACAAAACAACAACAACAACAAAAAATTAGCTGGGCACGGTGTCAGGTGCCTGTAACCCCAGCTGCTCAGGAGGCAGAGGCAGTAGAGTCGCTTGAACCCAGGAGGTGGAAGCTGCAGTGAGCCCAGATCGCGCCACCACACTCTAGCCTGGGTGATATAGAGCAACTGTGTCTCCAAAAAAAAAAAAGGTTACCATGAATATATAGTTTGTTCTTTTTTTCCTGAACATTGTGATGCTGGGTCTCTAAACTTTAATATAAAACATTTCTTAATGTTATCTTCAAGTACTTATTAAGGAGGCACAGAAACTACACACATTCTAAAAAACAAACAAACAAACAAAAAAAAACTACACACATTTCTATGACTTTTCTAGCCCTGTTTCCTGAAGGTAACTACAATTTCTACTCTTGAAAATACTGGTTCTTGCTGAGTATGTTTTTCTCAAAACTACTAAAGATCATACTAATCCTTTCATTATAATTAAAGTATTCAATAGGACTTGGAGTCCACATTCAGTAATCCCTTATTTGAATGAGAAATTGTAAAATAAAGGCCTTGCTCACATGCCAACTTACAGTCAGAGCAGCTTTCTTTCTGGAGACAGGGTCTTACTGTCACCCAAGCTTAAGTGCAGTGGCACAATCATAGCTCACTGCAGCATCGAACTCCTGGGCTCAAGTGATCTTCCTGCCTCAGCCTCCTGAGTAGCTGGGACTACAGGTGCAGGCTACCATGCCCAGCTAACTAAACATTTTCTGTAGAGACAAGGTCTTACTATGTTGTCCAGGCTCATCACAAACTCCTGGCCTCAAGCAATCCTCCCACTTCAGCCTCCCAAAGTGCTGGGATTGTAGGTGTGAGTCACAGTGCCTGGCCAGAGTAGGTTTCAAAACCAAAGTTGTAGTTTGTTATTTAATTATACCATACAGCTACAGTTTACATTTCTGTTTTCTTTTTTTTTTTTTTTTTTGAGATGGGGGTTTCTCTGTCACCCAGGCTGGAGTGCAGTGGCACAATCTCTGCTTACGGCAACCTCTATCCCCCAAACTCAAGCGATTCTCCCTCCTCAGTGTCCTAAGTAGCTGGGACCACACATGTGCACGCTAAGTTTTTATATTTTTGGTAGAGACAGGGTTTCACCATGTTGCCCAGGCTGATCTTGAACTCCTGAGCTCAAGTGATCTGCCCGCTTAGGCCTCCCAAAGTGTTGGGGTTACAGGTGTGAGCCAGCATGCCTGATGCTGGCTATGAAATTTCTTAAGCCAAGTAAACTTGTACCGGTGTCAATAAAATGACTAAAGCTACAATGTGAAGATCGTGAATATTTGTCTGCATATACCAAAGGCTTACTACTTAAAATTGGAGGTAAACCACAATGAGACATCACCTCACTCGTTAGAGTGACTATTATCAAAAAGACAAAACCTAACAAGTGTTGAGGATGCGGAGAAAAGGGAACCCTTACAATTAAGGGAAATGTACGTGAGTACAGCCATTATGGAAAACAAAATGAACGTTCCTCAAAAAATTAAACAGAATTGCTCTATGACCCAACAATTGCACTCCTTGGTATGTATTTAAAGAAAGTGAAATCCGTATGTTGAAGAGATATCTGCAATCCCATGTTTATTGCAGGACTATACGCAATAGCCACGATATAACTGACTTAAGTGTTCAAAGTGAATGAATGGATAAAGAAAATATGATATATATACACAAAGGAATACTATTTAGCTATTAAAAAGAATGAAATCCTGTCATTTATAACACGAATGAACCTAGAGGATAATACATTAAGTGAAAATAAGCCAGATACAGAAAGACAAATGCCACATTTTGACTTATATGCCAAATCTAAAAACGTTGATTTATATGTAGTGAATAGAACAGTGGTTACCAGGGACTGGAGGTGGTAGTGGGAGGGATGGGGAGAAGGTGGTGAACAGGTAAAAAGTTACAATTAAAGGAGGGGCCCAGTGCAGTGACTTATACCTGTAATACCAGCACTTTGGGAGCCTGACATAGGACTGTTCGAGGCCAGGAGTTTAAGACTAGCCTCGGTGACATAGGGAGACCCCTATGTCAATTTTTTAAAAGATAAAAAATTAGTCAGGCCTGGTGATGCATACCTATAGTCCTAGCTACCTGGGAGGCTAAGGTGGGAGGACTGCTTAACCCCAGGTATTTGAGGTTGCAGTGAGCTATGAGCACGCCTGCCACTGCACTCCAGCCGGGGTGAGATCAAGTGCCTGTCTCAAAAAAAAAAAAAAAAAAAAAAAGGAATAAGATTTGGTATCCTATTGCACAGTAGAGTGACTACAGTCAACAGTAAGGTACTCTGGATCCAGGCACTGTGGCTCATGCCTGTAATCCCAGCATGTTGGGAAGCTGAGGCAGGAGGATCGCTTAATGCCAGCCAGGAGTCTGAGACCAGCCCATGCAACATAGTAAAACCCCAACTCTACAAACAAATAATAAAATTAGCTGGGTGCAATGGTGTACACCTGCAGTACCAGCTACTAAGGAGGTTGAGGCAAGAGGATTACGTGAACGAGGGAGTTCGAGGCTGCAGTGAGCCATGATCACATCACTGCACTCTAGCCTGGGCAATAGAGCAAGATCTTGTTTCAAAAAACAAAAAACAGATCAAGTATTATGTACCTCAAAATAGCTAGAGGAGAGGATTTTAAATGTTCTCACCACAAAAACACGGTGTTTCAGGTGATGGATATGCTAATCACCCTAATTTGATCATTATAATGTATACATGTATCGAAACATCACACTGTACCCCATAAATATGTACATTAGGCGTCAAAAATAAATTTTAAAATAGGAGGTGAAAACAACGGGATGCAATTATTTTCCAAAAGCGTTGTTTTTATTTATATAGAGTCCTAACCACTTCAGTGGCAGGAGGAGTGGGAGAGGTTCCTTTTTCAATCCAGGGACCTCCATAATGTTGGTTTGTTGTTACCAAACACACAGGTAAGTGGCATCACGGATCTGGTAAACTAACGACAATGTTTAGTCTCTCTCTGCTAGGGCAACAAGGTGAGCATCAATCTCTGCTTCTGTAAGAATCCTAGAAGGTAAAAGGAGGAAAAAACCAACCATTTAAAAAAAAATTTCAAACACACATAAAAGTAGGATAGTATAATCAACTCCCATATACCTATTGACCTACTTCAACAATTATCAATTTATAAACCAATCTACACACACTTATCCTCCCTCAGATTTTGAAAGAATTCCCAGATAATATATCACCTTCACCTATACACAAAAATGTTTACTTATTTGACATCAGATTTAGAATTGTATCTTGAAAACAAAATTCTTTAGTTGCAGCTAAGATAGAAAATATTTCAATTGAATAATATAAAGCTAAACTATAAAGCATTCTATTTAGCTTCTATGTCAAAAGGCATTTATTTTCATTTTTTTTTTTTTTTTGAGACAGAGTCTTGCTCTGTCACGCAGGCTGGAGTGCAGTGGCGTGATCTCGGCTCACTGCAAGCTCCGCCTCCCAGGTTCAGGTGATTCTTCTGCCTCAGCCTCCCAAGTAGCTGGGACTACAGGCACGTGCCACCACGCCCAACTAATTTTTGTATTTTTAGTAGAAACAGGGTTTCATCATATTGGCCAGGCTGGTCTGGAACTCCTGACCTTGTGATCCACCTGCCTCGACCTCCCAAAGTGCTGGGATTACAGGCGTGAGCCACTGTGCCCGGCCGTCAAAATACATTTATATGTAGTATAACTCAAATTTATGTCAGCTCAAAGATAAAAATTCGTGAAGAAATTTTAAGCATATTAAAGTGTTCAGATTCAGTGAAAATAAAGTTGTAATTCTATGAATAGTCTACCAGCCAGAGAGTGCTCCATGTTGAACACATATTTTCTTTCTTTTTTTTTTTTGAGATGGAGTCTGACCCTGTTGCCCAGGCTGGAGTACAGTGGCATAATCTTGGCTCACTGCAACCTCCACCTCCCGGGCTCAATCAATTCTCCTGCCTCAGCCTCCAAACTAGCTGGGATTACAGACGTCCACCACCACACCCGGCTAATTTTTGTATTTTTAGTAGAGACGGGGTTTCACCATGTTAGCCACGCTGGTCTCAAACTCCTGACCTCAAGTGATCTGCCCACGATGGCCTCCCAAAGTGCTGGGATTATAGGCGTGAGCCACCATGTGCGGCCCTGAACGTGTATTTTCTAAATGATGTTTGCCTCGAAAGGAATCAATTGTTTGGCAACCTTGTTAATGTGACCTATTACTACTAGACTTCTAACAAGTAAAATTTGTCAAAAGAACATTTTTTAGTGCAACTGAAGGCAATATTAAGCAGTTTAAATAGTTGTTGATGCTTATGCTATGTATTGTAATTATTTACATATATTTACTATCACAGAACTTATAAATGATACAAAGTTTTTTGAAGACAAGGTTTTTGGTTCCTTACCAATTTTAAAAATAACAGATACAAATACAATTTTAAAGGTGGCAGGAAGGTCTCCAAACAGAAAAGAAAACAAGAACTAATTGTAGGTTCCTTAGAGAGATTTTAAAATTATTATTGCTGAAATTTTTACTGCTTAAAAAAAAAAAAAAAAGGCACCTTTTTTGAAAGCAACTTGATCTCCACCCCCACACCTCACCCCTACCCCAATCCAAGTTATAAGACTTCTTCCTATAGGGAAAAAAAGCTAAGACAGATTCGGTTCTGGTGTTGTTGTTGCTATTGTTTTTTTTTTTTTTAAACAGATGGGGTCTCACTATGTTACCCAAGCTAGAGTGCAGTGGCTATTCACAGGCACTATCATTGTGCACTACAGCTTTCAACTCCAAGGCTCAAGCCATCCTCTTGCCTCAGCCTCCTGAGGAGCTGCGACTACAGATGCATGCTACATCACCCAGCTCCTGTCTTTTTTTTTTTTTTTAAAGTCCTATGAATTCTTCTAAATCTGTCATGTTTATATGACTTATCTGTGGGCAACCAAAAGAACAAATTAGGAAAAAATAAATAAATAAATAAAACGAAAAACCTCTTCAAGGTCTAGTTAAGCTTAGTTTACCACTCCCATACCCACACCACAACCCCGATCATGTGTCTTTATGGTTGTGATCTAACAGTAGATATACCTCATAGTTAAAATGCCTCCCAGTAGTTCCTTGCATCTGTGGATTTAACTGTAGTATTTTCATTAGTTAAACATAACACATCCTGGTCCATGGTATATAAACTGACTCACAGGTTGCTGGGAGGATTAAATGAACTGACTATGTGAAGCACTCAGTATGGATTTGAATCATGGAAGTTATAAGGCTGATGTGTGGGAGTTAGTCACTTAGTGAGTAAGAACACTCACACCCATATCCAGCATCTGCAAGTCAAATAGCTGTATTCAAAATGTGGGCTTTCCAAAGATCTCCAGATAAGGGTCTGACATATATCAGTAGCTCATATTGCTCCTAAAAGTTCTACTTAAATAACCACTAAATAACCAAAGTTCTATCTGAAAAACTTGCAAACTACTACTTTGGGAATTGAATTTGTATTGGCCTTAAACTAAAAAAAAGAAAACACAATGCTAACTTTTTTCCTTACATAAGGAAGGCAGGAAGGTAACTTTATGTTATCTCTGGTGTCAAGATATAAAACCACTATGAAATAAGGAGAAAAGCTTTTATATCTGACTCTTAAAGAGAGTACAGTAAGTTTTAAAACAGATCTCAGGTGCTAGGGGAAAAAAAAAAAAACTATAATGGCAGTTACAGAAAAAAGATTTCCCCCACAAGTTATAGGACACATGAACTCACATGCCTCCACCTTTCTAGTCTGCATTTGGCCCACAATATCACTCACCTGAATTTAGGATTTTCAACTGTCACTACTCCAACTTCTATTTCTGAAGGTTTGAAATCAATTGATAGAACAGTAGACAGGCATGTAATTGCAGTCTGAAAAAGAGTACGTAATGTTAAAATACAGTATTTTTAGAGATTCCAAGGTTTTCTCATTCCTAATTTATTCAAATCAGGAGTCAATCAGGAGCTCCGTGTTTTAATGAGGTAGTTCAATGTTACTCACAGACTGCTTAACTCTAATGCATGGCCACCCAATGATGAGAAACTTGTTTCTACCAAGTCAAATAATAAAGGGGTCCATTAATTAATTAAATAGGATGATTTATACAAAACAGTTTATTGCCTTCATGACCCAGGCACTACGCTTCACTTAGCACTTGGGGTGAAATGGGAAAAGGATAAAGATGAATTATACTCCCTGTACCTTCAAGGAATTTACAGTAAAAACAATTTAAGAATGTTTTAAGTGTTTTTTGTTGTTGATATTTTTTTTTTTTTTCTTTGAGACAGAGTCTCACTCTGTCGCCCAGTCTGGAGTGCAGTGGCGCCAGCTTGGCTCGCTGCAACCTCAGGCTTGTGGGTTTAAGCAATTCTCCTGCCTCAGTCTCCTGAGTAGCTGGAATTACAGGCGCCTGCCACCATGCCCGGCTAATTTTTCTATTTTTAGTAGAGACGGGGTTTTACCATGTGGGCCAGGGTGGTCTCGAACTCCTGACCTCAGGTGATCTGTCTGCCTCCCAGAGTACTGGGATTACAGGTGTGAGCCACCATGCTTGGCCTTCAGTGTTTTTCTACCTGATGTGGTTATTTATATAATTAATTAAGAATTGCAATTTTAAAAACCTTCAAGAAACATTTAGATAGGGCCCAGTACTTCCTGAACATGAACTAGCTTTTTATCTCCTTTAAGCATACTTCGAAACCAAACATAAAAGCATTAGATGGTAATTTTTATTTGGTCATTTATCAGAAGCATGTTGTTAGCGTGTTCAGAATGGTTTTAATTCCAGACTTAAACACTCCAAATCTACTAAAATTTTTGTTTTTAATTTCTTGGCAGTAAATAGGACTGGCCTCGAACACCTGGACTCAAGCAATCCTCCAGCTTCAGCATCCCAAGTAGCTGGGACTACAGGTGTGTGCCACCATGCCCAGCTAGTTCCTATTTTTATTTATATTTTCCTATTATATGTGTCTTGCTGAAAGTCACCTCAAATACATTATGAAATAATAAATTGAGTGAATAAAAGTAACCCAAATTTTTCTATGTCAGCTGTATGATATCAATTTCATTATTAAGTTGACAAACTTGAATCCTAGGATGTAATTCAGGAATAGCTTTTTATAGAAATTATACAAAGATCCTCACTGTTCTATGTAACATAAAAAAAGTCAGCTCCTTTTGGTTGACTTACTTCCACTGTCTGTTCAAATGTCCAGTCAAATTTCTTCTTCACTTTTTTTTCAAGGAAGCTGGTTGACTCAGTTTGTTTAACTCCTGCTGCAGTAGCTTTAAACCCACAGTAGTAACCTGCAGGATCACACTTATATACTTGAGGGCCTTGATCTTCATCTATACCAATTAAAATCATACCTAAAAAGAGAAAAGACCCTAGTTAAATATGTTTTAGTTTTATACAATGACATCTCCTCTTTCTTGGTGGTGTCACATAGCTGCTGCTAATCATTACTTTAGCCATCAATTTTAGGATATGTATTTTCCTTTAAGAAAACTGATAAACAAAATACAGGTTATCACCACAGGTAAACTAGGTAACAGATAAATTCCCATTTCACAAAAGGATTTATCACAGATTTAAAAAAACAGTTTGAATAATTACAAATATAATTTAAAAATAGTTTTTCCAATCCTTGCTGTTATCCAAGCATGGTTATTTGAACCCTAACCCTTCAAGATGTGGCCTGGTCAAATAAACCTCAAAAACATTTTTTTTTTTTTTTTTTTAAGAGACAAGGTCTTGCTGTTGCCCGGGCTGGTCTCGAACTCCTGGGTTCAAGTGATCCTCCTACCTCGGCCTCCCAAAGTGCTGGGATTACAAGTGTGCACCACGATGCCGGGCCCAAAAACACTTTTGTATACCTTTTCTGGAAACAGATAATAAATAATAGCATATTAAATGCTCTGAAATATTTTGTTGCAGACTGACCTATTTAACTTTAACTCAGTAGTTCTTCAGTTTGTTTGACCAAGAAATACCCTTTTTTTTTATTTTTATTTTTTTTAAGAAATACCTATTAAGGTTCCAGGGAACAGTGTATGGGACACACTTTGGCAATGCTGGTGCAAACTGAAATACACTTACGGGTTACCTGCTCACTTTTACACTGCTCATCTTCATTACTGTTGGTATATACTCCTATAGTATGTCACACAAACCAAGCTCTAAATTCTATACAGCTAACTTTGTTACTACAATTCTAATGTCACCACATTATAGGCATACAATTAAAATAAACACCATCATTAAATTTCTTTCTACTCAGTAGAACAGGTAACAAAGTTCTTAAGGTTTAACTGCTTTCTTATATTTGATATATACAAAATATAAGGGCAACACAAAAAGGTACCCACTTACTGCTTGGGGAAACAACAAATACTTCTTTCCTTCAAGGTCTTGCAAGATGAATAGGATTTAAGTAAATTTTTGTGTTTTTTTTTGAGATGGAGTCTCGCTCTGTCACTCAGGCTGGAGTGCAGTGGCGCAATCTCGGCTCACTGCAAGCTCCACCTCCTGGGTTCACACCATTCTCCTGCCTCAGCCTCCTGAGTAGCTGGGACTACAGGCGCCCACCACCACGCCCAGCTAATTTTTTGTATTTTTAGTACAGACGGGGTTTCACCATGTTAGCCAGGATGGTCTCGATCTCCTGTCCTCGTGATCCGCCCGCCTTGGCCTCCCAAAGGGCTGGGATTACAGACGTGAGCCACCACGCCCGGCTGGATTTAAGTAATTTTTAAGTGAGAAGCCAAGAGGGTCAGATGCTAAACAGAAATCATTACACTGACTGCTTTAATGCTCATAAATGAATGACACAATGTCAGAAACAAACATGCATTGAATTCTTCAGGCTAATTTATTATATTACATCTAAAAATCAGTAAATCTCATCCCTCTCCCAATACAATTTTACTTGTTTTCAAAAATAGAAATTTATTCTAAAAATGTGAATCACAGACCTGTGTGTGACCCTAATTCTTTAGGGTGGTCAAAAGAAACAGCTACATTGTTAAGATGCCTGATGGAGGTATTTCTATGGAATTAGTAATCTAGAATTGCAGTAGAATCTCATTACAACATCCTAATAAAATTAGGACTTGCATCGTTCAAATCACATACTCCAAATGGAACTATTTTGATAAAAAGTCTAAGAGCATCTAAAGCTTAAAGATACTGCCTGACATACTGCTGTGAAACCTATCCTTTAGTTCTGATTTGTTAAAAAGATTTTCCCACTCTATTTTCCAAACCACATGTTCAGAACTCAAGTGTTATTTAAATAACTCTGTATACATGTTCTGTAAAAAGTTACAATTCATCAATTATTTGGGAGACTTCTTAGCATACTTACAACAACCAAGAGGCCTCATTTCAGCATTCTGTGTGCAGACCTGAGAAATATCGGCAATTCTTTTACACAGCATGTCCACAGGAATCTCATAGCCATACTTGTATTTCCAGTTAGCTGCCTCATAGCGTGCCCTCTGTACCTGGGATCTGCTGTCAGCTTATAGCATAAAAAACAAAGGTTTATCTGGTTAGAAGGAAAGAACAAACCTGAAAGCCAGGCAATTTAGCCAGGCAATTTTCCCACCATATAGATATACATGAGTTAAAGAGAAAGGGTCCACTATGGCTTTTTGTCCCCCAATGAATACTAAATAATTCATCAACAAGTATGCAAAAAAAATTTAAAAACATGAAGCTGTCTACACAGTACTGCCCTTTTATACTGAGCCTTTCATTAGCAGTCAAAATAGTTTCTACAAGTATCCAGTAAGAATAAGCATTAAAGAGGCAGGGCATGGTGACTCAACACTTTGGGAGGCCAAGACAGGCGGGATCATTTGAGGCCAGGAGTTCAAGACCAGCCTGGCCAACATGGCGAAATCCTGTCTCTACTAAAAATACAAAAATTAGCTGGGCGTGGTGGTGTATACCTGTAGTCCCAGCTACCCGGGAGGTTGAGGCATGAGAATTGCTTGAACCCAGGAGGAAGAGGCAGCCTGGGTGACAAAGTGAGACTGTCTCCAAAAACAAACAAACAAACAAACAAACAAAAGCATTAAGGAGAATAATCTTTCTTAATCTTTGTTTTTAGGCTTGAATTAGTAAATTAGTTTTTCATTTATTTTTTAGAGATGGGGTCTTGGACTGGCACCCAGTGAGCCATCAGAGCTCACTGTAGCCTCCTACCTCAGCCTCCTGAGTAGCTAGGACTACAGGGATGTGCCACCATACCAGCTAATTTTTCTTTTTTCTTCTTCAGATGGAGTCTTGCTCTGTTGCCCAGGCTGCAGTACAGTGTCATGATCTTGGCTCACTGCAACCTCTACCTTCTGGGTTCAAGCAATTCTCTTGCCTCAGCCTCTCAAGTAGTTATGATTACAGGCACCTGCCACCATAGCTGGTTAAGTGTTTTGGTATTTTTATTTTTACTTTTTGAGACAGAGTCTCACTCTGTTGCCCAGGCTGGAGTGCAGTGGTGCAATGTCAGCTCACTGCAACCTCTGCCTCCCGAGTTCAAGCAATTCTCCTGCCTCACCCTCCGGAATAGCTGGGATTACAGGTGTGCACCACCATGCCCAGCTAATTTTTGTATTTTTAGTAGAGATGGAGTTTCACCATGTTGGCCAGGCTAGTCTCAAACTCCTGACCTCAAATGATCCGCCTGCCTCGGCCTCCCAAAGTGCTGGGATTACAGGTGTGAGCCACCACGCCTGGCCTTTTCCTGTATTTTTAGTAGAGACGGAGTTTCACCATGTTGGCCAGGCTGATCTCGAATTCCTGACCTCAAGTGATTCACCTGCCTCAGCCTCCCAAAGTGCTGGGACACAAGTGTGAGCCACTGTGCCCAGCCCCCAGCTAATTTCTACATTTGTTATAGAGATGGAGTCTCACTATGTTGCCCAGGCTGGTTTTGAACTCCTGGTCTTAAACAATCCTCTCACCTTGGCCTCCCAAAGTGCTGGGATTACAGCTGTCGGCCACTGTGCCCAATCTAAAATAATTTTCATAATAATTCTCACTCACTTCTCACCGGTGCCATTATAACCAGGTTTGAGATATACTAACGTAGGTCCCCTTAAACTACTAACAATAGCTGAAATAAGATAAAATCATCTATGAAAGGGGTCTCACCAGTTTCTCTGACAGTAGCATAAACATTTAATTATACTATATGTATAATTTCAAAAAAGCTCACAATACTCTTAAAATATTGATACTAGTCTTGAAGACTGCAAATCCACTCATGGCACCTGAAAATCAGGCAATCAGATAAGTTTAAAATTAATACAAAACTCAAAATAGTTTGAAGAAAATAACAAAAGGCTTGTATATCTACACAGGTCTAGCTAATTACCTGTCATTCCGGTCATCACACAACCAATGTTTTCAGTTATCTTGAATAAGTGAGTCACTGTGCTGGAATCCAATAATTTGTCCTAATAAGCAAAATAAACAAAGATAATTTTTAAAAACATGTACAGGTTTCTGTGTAGTTATAAAAAAAAATTATGTTTTTATTTTTAATTTGCCCTGTTTCTTAGAGAAAACAATACTATGGAACCATAAAAATAAGCTATATAATAAATGTCTTCTGACCATTTTATAGTTAAAATCAATTTTAAAAAAAGGGTTTCGAGGGGCTCTATTTTCCTTTTTTAGATGATACTTTTCCTGTGGACAAACAATAGCTTAATAAAAATTTGTCTCAAGGTCCCCAAAGACAAAAGACTTAAATCCTATTATGCTTACAATCACACCACGAAGTTTAATATGCTCATTCTGTCCACACAGCTGAACTGTATATAGACGTTCAATAGACACTTCTTGGATGACAGGAAAGCAGGGTCAAAGCAAGAATCATGTTAATATTTGTTGTTTTTTTTTCATGTTAATATTTGTATATAAAAATACACTCTTCTACAAACCCATGAAAAATTCTTTTTGTTTTTTTGAGATGGAGTTGCGCTCTTGTTGCCCAGGCTGGAGTACGATGGTGTGATCTCGGCTCACCGTAACCTCCACCTCCCGGGTTCAAGCGATTCTCCTGCCTCAGCCTCCCAAGTAGCTGGGATTACAGGCATGTGCCACCACGCCTGCCTAATTTTGTATTTTTAGCAGAGATGGGTTTTCTCCATGCTGGTCAGGCTGGTCTTGAACTCCCGACTTCAGGTGATCTGCCCACCTCAGCCTCCCAAAGTGCTGGGATTACAGGCGTGAGCCACTGCACCTGGCCGAAAAATTCTTGTATCCTATAATTAATTATTTGGGCAGTATTACTTACAGGTACTTTCTTCTGTGTGACAATTACTGCACAGTCTTTCCCTCTGACAGCTACTGATGTAAGGCCACCCTGGTTAATAGCCTTAAAAGCATATTCTGGAAAACAGAACAGTTTTTTTTTAAGTTGGAATAAATTATTGTAGATTCTTGCAATGAAATAATAGTCATTAAAAAGAATGACAAAGAGCTACATAAACATGAAAGGCTCATATAGGATTCCAAGATGTGCAAAATGAAAATAATAATAATGACCATAAGTCACAGTTAAACCAACTCCATTTCTTCCATTTTCATTTTACTGAAATTATTTTCATTAGGCTGATGCATCCAATTTCTAATAAAGTTTTTTTTTTTTTCTGAAACAGAGTCTTGCTCTGTCACCCAGACTGGAGTGCAGTGGTGCGATCTCGGCTCACTGCAACCTCACTGCCAGGTTAACGCTAGTCTCCTGCCTCAGTCTCCCAAGTAGCTGGGATTACAGGTGCGTGCCACCACACCTGGCTAATTTTTTTTATTTTTAGTAGAAATGGGATTTCGCCATGTTGGCCAGGCTAGTCTTGAATTCCTGACCTCAGGTGATCCGCCTGCCTTGGCCTCCCAAAGTGCAGGGATTACAGGTGTGAGCCACTATTCCCCGCCCCAATCATACTGCATACTGATCATAAAGATCATACTGCATCTTTATCAATGATGTTTTGTCATTTCAAAAGTTTTTTTTTGTGGCCACTATTTCTAAGTCTGGTTTTCCCAGGTCAAATTTAGCTGCTCTAAATTTTTTCCAGACTTAATACTTCTGTGAACTTTTGGTCAGTAACTAATTTGACCACATGCAGTTTTAATTGCTGTTTGATTATTCTGCATTGATTTTTGTCTATCAAGTTGAATATTTCTGGATCATGCTTTTTGCAATTTTCATGTTACCTACAACATATGACTCTATCTTTTTTTTTTTTTTTTGAGATGGAGTCTCACTGTCACCCAGGCTGGAGTGCAGTGGCATGATCTCAGCTTACTACAACCTCCACCTCCCGGGTTCAAGCGATTCTCCTGCCTCAGCCTCCCGAGTAGCTGGGATTACAGGTGTGCAACACCATGCCCAGCTAAGTTTTTGTATTTTTAGTAAAGATGGGGTTTCACCACATTGGCCAGGCTGGTGCCAAACTCCTGACCTCAGGTGATCCACCTGCCTCGGCCTCCCAAAGTGTTAGGATTACAAGCGTGAGCCACCACGCTAGGCCAACATATGACTCTATCTGTAACAAACTTCAGCTTATGCACGTCTAGCTGCTGTCAATCCATTCTATTGGTTAAAACACTAGGATCAAAATAATAGCTTACAAAAAATCTACTTTGGCACCATGTAGTATAACTGATAATGGTTGTCTTTGGACAGTATGATTACAGATGAGACTACCAATTTATATGCTATATATTTCTGCATATTTTTTTTTTCTTTTAGAGACAGAGTCTCGCTCTGTCACCCAGGCTGGAGTGCAGTGGCATGATCTCGGCTCACTGCAACCTCTGCCTCCCGGGCTCAAGTGATTCTCCTGCCTCAGCCTCCTGAGTAGCTGGGATTACAGGTGCCCGCCACAATACCCAGCTAGTTTTTGTATTTTCAGTAGAGATAGCGTTTCACCATGTTGGCTAGGCTGGTCTCAAACTCCCAACCTCAGGTGATCCGCCTGCCTCAGCCTCCTAAAGTGCTGGGATTACAGGTGTGAGCCACTGCACCCAGCCCAAATTTTTCTTTTTTAAAAAATTTTTAGTAGACATGAGGTCTCACTATGTTGCCCAGGCTGGTCTTGAACTCCTGAGCTCAAGTGATCCTCCCATATCAGCATTCCAAAGTGCTGAGATTACAGGCGTGAGCCACCAGGCCACTCTCTGCAATATTTAAATTTAATAATAGACACATATTTTGGTGGGTTTTGAGATAGGGTCTTGCTGTTGCCTAGGCTGGAGCACCAGGGCATGATCATAGCTCACTGCAGCCTCGACCTCCTGGGCCCAAGCGATCCTTCAGCCTCAGCCTCCTGTGTAGCTGGGACCACAGGTGTATACCACCACATTCAACTAATTTTCAGATTTTTTCTGTAGAGATGGAGTCTTCCCATGCTGCCCAGGCTGGTCTCAAACTCCTGGACTCAAGCGATTCTCCCACCTCAGACTCCCAAAGTGATAGGATTACAGGGATGAGCCACTATGCCTGGCCTGTTTATTTTTAGTTAAAAATAGATATGGGGTCTTGCTATGTTGCCCAGGCTGGTCTCAAACTCTTTGGCTCAAGTGATCCTCCCACCTTAGGATTACAGGCATGAGTCACTGTGCCTGGCCTGGGCACATATTTCATAATCAGGGGAAAAGCAACAAAAATCAATACATGCTCATGGTAGAAAATATGAAAACACAGAAGATAACTTTTAGATAATTATTCATAATCTCAATCATTATTTACATTTTGACATGTAACAGATTATTTCAAAATTCTGTCTTCGAGTGTTACTCTGGGCACTGAGTCTGAGCCCTGGCCTCATGTGTTCAAAAAGTCATAGGTGATGAGGACCAGCTGAGAAAGCTACTGCCTATCACGCTAAAGAATCTCCTTTAATAGAAACTGTAATAAATCATCAAATATTTCTAAATGGCTAAATATTTAAGAGAGGACAAAAGAATAGAGCAAAAATGATTATAGAAAAATCGCCTTAAGGAAATCCTTGGTTGGGTGCAGTGGCTCATGCCTGTAATCCTAGCAATTTGGGAAGCCAAGGAGGGAGGACCGCTTGAGCCCAGGAGTCCGAGGCCAGCCTGGGCAACATGGCAAGAGCCTGTTTCTACAAAAAAATGTTAGCCGGGCATGGTGGTGCGCCTGTGGTCCCAGTTCCTTGGGAGGCTGAGGCAGGAGGATCACTTGAGCCCAGGAGAACGAGGCTGCAGTGAGCTGTGCTCACACCACTGCACTCCAGCCTGGGCAACAGAGCAAGACCTTGTTTCAGGAAAAAAGAAAAGAAAAGAAAAGAAATCTTCAAATATGGCTTGGATTTAACTGGTTTTATCATTATTATCATTATGGAGCAAGAGACAGCATCTTGCTCTGTCACCCAGGCTGAGTGCAATGGCACAATCATAGCTCACCGCAGCCTCAAACTTCTGATTCAGACCCTCCCACTTTAGTCTCCTGAGCAGCTGGGACTACAGGTGGGTATCACCATGCCTAACTAATTTAAAAAAAAATTTTAGGGATGAGGTCTCACTACATTGCCCAGGCTGGTCTCAAACTCTTGGCCTCAAATGAGCCTCCTGCCTTGGCTTCTGGAGTAGCTGGGATTACAGCAGGTATGAGCCACAACCCCAATTTAATTGGTTAATTATAATAGCAAAATTTTACCATCCCGTTACACTACAAATACCTTTTTTTTTTTTTTTTTTTTTTGAGATGGAGTCTTACTCTGTCGCCCAGGCTGGAGTACAGAGATGCAATCTTGGCTTACTGCAACCTCTGCCTCCTGGGTTGGAGCAATTCTCCTGCCTCAGCCTCCCAAGTAGCTGGGATTACAGGTGTGCACCACCATGCCCGGCAAATTTTTGTATTTTTAGAGATGGGGTTTCGCCATGCTGGCCAGGCTGGTCTTGAACTCCTTGCCTCAGGTGATCCACCCACCTCGGCCTCCCAGATGCTGGGATTACAGGTGTGAGCCACTGCGTTCAGCCTACGCTACAAATAACTTCTAAAAAAAAGCTGGTGTCTCCCTATCTGTGGGGATTGGTTCTAGGACCTCCCGTGGATACCAAAATCCACAGAAACTCAAGTCTCTGATATAAAATGGCACAGTATTTGCACATCGCCTATGTATATCTTCCTGTATACTTGAAATTATCCCTAACTTGGCCAGGCATGGTGGCTGACACCTGTAATCCCAGCACTTAGGGAGGCAGAGAGAGGCGGATCACCTGAAGTCAGGTGTTCAATACCAACCTGGCCCAAATGGTGAAACCCTGTCTCTATTAAAAACACAAAAATTTGCCGGGCATGGTGGCAGATGCCTGTAATCCCAGCTACTCAGGATGCTGAGGCAGGAAAATCGCTTGAACCTGGGAGGTGGAGGTTGCAGTGAGCTGAGATTACACCACTACACTCCAGCCTGGGCGACAGAGCGAGACTCCGTCTAAAAAAAAAGAAAGAAATTATCTCTAGCTTACACTACACAAGCTAATACAATGAATGAGACTCCATCTAAAAAAAAAAAAAAAAAAAAGAAATTATCTCTAGCTTACCCTACACTAGCTAATACAATGTAAATGCTAAATAGTTGTTATACTACGTTGTTTAGCGAATAGTGACAAGAAAAAAATCTGTACGTGTTCAGTACAGGAGCAATTTTTTCCCTTAATATTTACGATCAGCTGGTTCAATCCATGGATGAGGAACCCATAAATATGGAGGGCTAGCTGTACAACTTTCACACTGCTTCTTGGTTCTGATCCTGATATGGCTAATAAAGCTTCTATCAGATCAGCCCTCCACAAATAAAAACTAACTCTAAACAAAACAACAACTACCTAAAGACACCACAAAGTCAGATTCTAGAGGGGAAGTCAACAGTTGGGAGAAAGAAATGGCATGAGTTGAGCTTCCCATTTTTGGGGCTCATAATCTGAGAGCCGTAAAGGCTGAACTCCCACAGAAAACTCAGTCTTTTTGGCCTGAAGAACTAGAGAACAGTTTGGGGTAACAATAGCTGCTAGAAAACGAGGGAGAGAAAGGAGAGCACTAGGGAGTAAGAGTCCCAACTTCTATATATAAACACTGCCCAAATCTCTGGCAGATTCCATAACAACACACACAAGGCAGACTCCAAGCGGCCCAATTAAGGATAAAAGAAACAGAGTGAGATTTAAGATGCCACCCAAGAGACAGACTTTGTAGCTTGAGAATAACCAAATTAACTGCCTACTAGAACAAAATAAGTCAATACTCTTTGGAGAAATATAACAGAATCCAGAGTCTTCACAAAATAACATTCATAAATGTCCAGGATACAATTCGGAACTCTCAACACAACAAAAAACAAACCAAGTCAAACTAAAAAACCAAA